TTAAAGGAATCCCAAATACTTATTACAATTCAGTTTTACAGAGATATCTTAATTTAAAACTTTTAACTACTCAAAATGAAACTAACTCCTCCAAACCTACTCAAAAGATAAAATGAGTTTTGATCTGCCCCTCTCAGTCTCACCTCTACAACACTACAGAAGATGCCCCAAAGGCCAAGACAGACCACTCCACTCAACAGATACATGTTTTATTGAGCTCCTACTACCAGCATGCCGCTGCTATGGCCTAAGAATGAAAGGCTAATATATCCTGCCTGCTAGCATGCAGCTAATCCACCTGCCCCGTCTCCAGGGTCTCTGCCTCAGATCCAGAGTGATTCCAGCACCTATTTTATTGTCTTTCTCTTCCAGCAAAACCTGGACCTCCATGTAACCAGCAATTAACATCAGCCTTGCAGTTCCCCCTTTGCCCTCCACACTGATGTCCACGAGCCCACGTCAGCAATTCTGCCACAACCACATGCTGGACCCCCACACATCCAGGGCATCATTGTGAAAACCCAGAATTCCTCCCTACACTTCCAGTTCCTTCTCTTCCAGGGCCCTGCCACCTCCTCACACACTTGAGCTTTACTTCTTCACTAGCCAGCTTGGAGCCCAGGCCCAACCTGTCACTGTCGTAGTCTCCGCAATCCTTTTTCTTCCAGGGAGCACGCCCAGACCAAACCTGGACAAGTCCAACTGCTGTCTTTCTCCCCCTCTTCTGGTACAATGCAGCCAAAAGGGGAAAAAAATCACTTAACTGAGTGGTTGATCGATAGATTTGTGGATTCCAACATTGCTGAGTCTGCAACATGCTGGGGCAATCTTTCTGCTTTTCTTGGGTGTCCCCCTGCCACCCCATGCCCTATAGGGGATGTTCCAACAAGCCCCCTCACATCATATACTGAGGAAAAAAGAAGCCCCTGCTCATGACCTTCCTCAATTTACCTGCTCTCTCCTCTAGACTTATATACCACAGAATAAATTGATTCAATCTGCCTCCTTTCTGCCTTGGGGAGGGGTTCTCCACCAGCCCAGGCCCAACACTTCATGTCTGTGTTCACTCTCATCTCAGTATCCACAGCACTTGGCACATGGAATGGTGTCCTGGTGTGGCACGAGTGGCCCCCTTCTAAGAGCCTTCAGAATGGTGTCCTTTCTTCTCTTCGTATAAGCACATTCGAGTCACACTTTTCCTAAATCATCCACCCTTGACAGTATGGTCTGACCCCCTCTATCTCTTTAACTGAAGATACTGGGGCAAGAAAATTCCTCTTATGCACCATCAGTCAGAAGCTGTGCAGCAGATTAACACAGCGACTCATAAAAAATCTAAGTTGGGGGAACAGAATTAAGAGATGTGACAGAGGAAATTATTTACAGCTAACAGAAAGACAAAGGATTTTATAAATGATATATAAATAGAATTTACAGGGCCAGCCAGTGGTTCACTTGGGACAGTGTGGTGCTGATAACACCAAGGCCGCACGTTCGAATCCCTATATAGGGGATGGCCGGTTTGCTCACTTGGGAGAGCGTGGTGCTGACACCACCAAGTCAAGGGTTAAGATCCCCTTACAGGTCATCTCTTAAAAAAAAAAAAAAGGCATTTACAAGTTAACTAAAAAGTAATACTCCAGGGGCCGGCCCGGTGGCACACTGGATAGTGCGCCACTTGGGAAGCACGGCGGCACTCCCGCCAGAGGATTCGGTTCCCGCATACAGACCGGTTCCTGCTCACTGGCTGAGCGAGGCGCGGGAGCAGCACCGAGGGTTGCGATCCCGTTGCCGGTCCCCGGTCTGGTGTGGGGGCAACACTGAGGGTTGCGATCCGTTGCCCGACATGGAAAAAGACAAAAGACAAAAAAAAAGAAAAAAGTAATACTCCAATAAAAGGCTGTGAAAGGACCCAAATGAGCAATCGGCAAAAGTGCAAATAGCCAATATCTGAAAAGAAAACCAAGGCCACTAATAAGAGATGCAAAAGGAGAGAACAACAGGCCCTCACGAGCCGATCCTGGGAATACAGATGGGCACACCCTTTCTGGTAACTAAAAGATATATTACGCAAACTTAAAAAAGATGATACCAACTTATTTTAACATGGAAAGAGATCCATGTCTTAGTAAGCAATAAAAGTAGATAACTAGATGGTCCACAGTATACCACATTTGTTTTAAACATTTGCATCTGTAGAAAAAAGTCTGGAAGTATAAGCACCAGAGCATAAGGAGGGCTTACCTCTGAGCAATGGACCACTGGCATAGCTACAGGGCTACAGTCAGGGATCTGCTCAGAGGCCACATCCCATTTCACAATATTTTATGTCCCAGGATTTGGTGTACTTCCTTTGCGCAAAACACTCCCAAGGCGCAAGGAAGGAACTGAGGCTACTAGAACCCGTGCTGGCCTCAGGCTTCAAGAGCCACAAGTTCCTGGGAATCAACCTCCCGACCCAGCCCTTAACCTGGGTATTGCTGGCCTTAAAAGCTAGGACACTCTGAGCCTTAGCATTGCAGCTCCCAACCACGAACGCCTTTGCATCTCCATCGTTCTAACATTATCTCAGGTCGCCAGGGATCCGTTTCTAGCCGAGCGACACTTCCAAAAACTGATTATTTGAACATCCCATTTCACAATATTTTATGTCCCAGGATTTGGTGTACTTCCTTTGCGCAAAATGCTTCCAAGGCGCAACATCCATGGCTTTTTGAAGGAAGGAACTGAGGCTATTAGAACCCGTGCTGGCCTCAGGCTTCAAGAGCCACAAGTTCCTGGGAATCTATCCCCCGCCCCAGCCCTTAACCTGGGTATTGCTGGCCTTAAAAGCTAGGACACTCTGAGCCTTAGCATTGCAGCTCCCAACCACGAATGTCTTTGCATCTCCATCGTTCTAACATTATCTCAGGTCGCCAGATTCTGTCTCTAGCCGAGGGACACTTCCAAACACCGACTATTTGACTCCACTGGGATGTCCACTTCATCAACACCTCCACTTTATTGTTTTACCCAACATGCTTCTCCTATCTTTACTCTCCACAAGGCTATAACCTTACCTTCTATTTCCATCTTCCACACTCTGCACACTCCAGAATCTTGGATCATGACCACCACGTCAATGGCTCCCCAAGCGCATTCCCGGCCGTCTGGTCTTCCCGACACAAGTGGCACAGGCGAGCTCACCAGCCTCCCACTCTGCCCGCGGGCTCCTCTGCAGGTGCTGCCCAGCGGTGAGAGCCCCGTCCAGTGTCCTCACGCCTCCTGGGCCAAGTCGGCCGAGTTGACCTCCCTCCCGCGTTT